CTGGGGCATGGCTTCTCAGTGTATGGAAACGTGGCATTCCAGCAAAACGAACCAGTCATATCTAAGTGAATAATTACTGATTTACAGATTCTGATTTGAAGGTACATTAAAACTTCACCTTCCTTTCCATGAGAAAATAAGTTATCTTTGATCCTTATCACGTACAAAACCATTCAGTTGCACTGTAAATGTTTTACCAGGGAAATCTGTATATTACTGATGTGCAGTTTCAGCAACCGATCCTGTTGGGGGTTGTGTAACTTTGAACTATATAAATAGTTATAAAAATAATATATAACACCCTACCCATTAATGTTACATGAAATGATTTATATATAAGAAATGTGTCTCCTTGGCTTTAAAAACAAGTGAAACTTAAAAATGTTTCAAACCAAAAATAATTTGCTTAAGCTTTAGTTGCGATTATAAGTGAAGGCACTCTCTTGCTAGAGTCTTCCCTGCAAGGAAATATAGGTCATTACTCTTTCTTATTTTGTATTACGAATTTTTTTAGGTTATATATTTTTCTATTTCTTGGTGCTTTGCTTATTATACCTCATCTTGAAATACTTGGTTTAACAGACTTTCCATCTGCTGAAAATAAAGATAGAGGCTTGATTGCTAGAGATCTGAAGGCAGTATTTTTAATAGAAATTTAGAGGCTGGTAGTATAGAGTCCCAGATGGCAGGCACCACAACACCGGAGAATAATCTGGGACCCCCCACACCGAGCTGATATCACCAAGAGGCCCTAGATTGAGCAGGTGCAGTTTCCCCACCTCCAGATGGAATCCTTGCAACCATGAGCTTCTACAAGCATGGGTCCAGTATGTGGGCATCAGGACTATTCCTCTGAACTGTGTGGCCGCTTATGTGGCCACACGACCTTTCCTGATATACAAAATGAACAATGGAAAATGAATGATCTAGCGTCTGCCCCTTGAAGGGAGGCTTGAATGGTGGTGGGAAAATTCGAGCAAAATATAATGCCCAAAAGTAGAGAGAGAGTATCTGAGCAATTGTCTGCCATAGAGGCAGGGCTGGAGTGATAGCAGCCGGTAGGGCGTTTGCCTTGCACGTGGCTGACCTGGGTTCGATTCTTCCACCCCTCTTGGAGAGCCCGGCAAGCTACCGAGAGTATCCCGCCAGCACAGCCTGACCTGCTCCCTGTGGGGTACTTGATATGCCAAAAACAGTAACAAGTCTCACAATGGAGACATTACTGGTGCCCGCTCAAGCAAATCCATGAACAACGGACAACAGTGCTACAGTGATACAGAGGCAGGGTAAGGACTGGGATGGAATTAGAGGTTTAATGGGGATATTGGTGGTGGAAGTTTGCACTAGTGGAGAGATGGATGATTGCTCATCATAGTTGGATATCAAACATGAAAGCTTTGTAACTATCTCATGGTGGCTCAATAAAAAAAAATTAAAAAAATATTTAGGGGGTGGAGAGATAGTACAGCAGGTTAGACCCTTGCCTTGCACACTGTGGACCGGGGTTCAATCTCCGAGTTCATCCCAGATGGTCCCTGAGTGCAGAGCCAGAAGTAAGCCCTGAGCACTGAAGGTTTGTCCCCCAAAACCAAAAAATAAAATAGAAATGATCGCACCCCAAAGTTGTACCCCTTCTTTATGAACAAATCACTGATGACACCGTTTGGCAACTGGTTCATTTATGTGCTCTCCTTTTACCAGAAAGGATTAAACCGACTGAGGAGAATGTATAGAATGTATAAAATATAGCAAGATTTAAAGATTAGTAAAGAAAGTGGGAGCAAAGGAAGGGTAGCAATGCACTGTAAATGAATTATCTTGGGGAATTAAAAAGAACTGTATCGTAATTTGACAACTGCCGTAATAAGCTCCACTAGGTCCTAATGCAGCGCTAGAAGACACTGGCGTACATTCTGCTGTCGCCACTCCACACGGGCCAAGGACAATTAGCTATGCAGTGAATCATTTCGCAGAGAGACGTCTGAGACTGGATTCTTAGCTGGGCGCAGGTGGGGCGGGGGAGATGGCAGGAAACTCCCCTGTGTGGCCCAGACACGGCCTAGAGCGACTCCCCCCATACTGCAGCTAGTGTCACTGGGTGTGGCCCGCCCTCAAAAGAATGGCCAAATTAGTAGCTGGTCTTATTTTAGCCTGAAGACAACTCATGGCCATCAATAACTTGGAATTTGCAATTCCTTGCAGCTGAGCCTCAAATGAAAAATATGTGTGCTAAGGCATACTAACGGCCTGATGTTTTGGAAGGCAGAGTACGTCTTCCTGATCAACATTTAAAAATCGTTTAGTATCTTACTTTACTTAAAATGAAACTGTCCACTTTGGCCACCCGGCGGTCCTCATGGACCTTGCTGCACGGGGTCCCAGCGCAGCTGCGGGCATGCAGATATCTCAAACGCCCCCGGCTACTGAAATAATGCCTGAAATAAATAATCTGCTGCAAAATCGGGTTCTTGGAAACCTGAATTTGTTTCCTTGCCAGAGTATTTGAGGCCCCTTAGATAAATAGAACAGTTTTCAGCCAGCCTCCCTCCAGCGCGCTCCAGGTCGAGTCCCCGGAGCCCGCGTCCCCGGCCGGAGCGGACCCTGTGCGCAGGCGCGAGCCGCCCGCGGGCCCCGCCCGCCGACCTGCCGCGGTTCTGCGCACGCGCGGCTGGTGAGTGCGGCTCGCGGCCGGGCTGTGGCGCCGCTTGGCTCTCCCGTGCGCCGGGGCTGGGGCTGCGGCGTGCGGGGAGTGAGACGCGGTCGGTCGGGGCCGAGAGGGCCGCCGGGCGGCTGGGCTGGCCCGCAGCCGGGCCTCGGGCCTTCCCGCCGAGCCGCGGGGGCCCCGGGACGGCGTTTCCGGGTCGGAGGGGACGGTGCCCTCGGGCCTTCCCGCCCGTACCTGTACCTCGGCGCTGAGGGGACGGTTCCCTCGGGCCCTCCCGCTGGGCGCGGGGCTCCCGGGACTGAGGAGACGGTTCCCGCGGGGGGCCCGGCACCGCCACCGGCAGCCGGGAGAGGAGAGAGCCGCCCGCCCAGGGGTCGTGGAGGCGCCAAGCAGGCCGGGGGTGGGAGCCTCTGCGGAGCCGGTGTAGCGCCCGACGGGTCGGCGTGCGGGAGGGCGTCCCCACCCGCGACAGCTGTGATTCGCCCCCGAGCCCCTTGGCGTTCTAGAAGATACTATGGGGGGGGGGGGGGGGGGCTCGGGACTGGCAGGCCGCAGTGCTCAGGAGAGGCCCCGACCCCTTTGCTATCTTGCCCGGCGCAAAAAACGGGGCTGGGTGTTCTGTTGTTTGACTTTGTTAGTGATTGATTAGCTCCTTCTCTGACGCGTGGTGTACGAATATTTTCTCCTTTTAGTAAGGTATCTTTTTTTTTCTTTTGCTTTTTGGGTCACACCCAGCAGTGCTCAGGGGTTACTCCTGGCTTTGCACTCAGGAATTACTCCTGGCAGTGCTTGGGGGACCATCTGGGATACCAGGGATCGAACCCGGGTTGGCTGTGTGCAAGGCAAACACCTACCCGCTGTGCTATCGCTCCGGCCCCAGTAAGGTATCTTTTAAACTTTAGCCTGAGGGTTTTGTTTTAGTGCAAAAACTTTTACATATGACATAACCCCTTTGGTTTGATTTTGCTCATTCTTCCCGGAGTCAATTTATTGAAGACACCTCTGAGTTGCATATCTTGTAGTTTGACCTGTTTCCTCAACGTACTTTTATGAGTTCTCCGCCCCTCTCGGAGAGCCTGGCAAGCTATGGCAGAGCCTGGCAAATTCCCCGTGGGCAATATGTGATGTGACAAAAACAGTAACAAGTCTCACACTGGAGATGTTACTGGTGCCCACTCGCGCAAATCTATGAACAAGGAGAGAACAGTGCTACATGGGTTCTGGTCTAACAAATCTTTCCGGAGTATCCACTGTGAATTCATTTTGAGGAATGGTGTGAAATACAAGACCGGTTTTACTTTTCACTTGTGACTATTCAGTTTTCCTAAGCACTTGTTTTGTTTGAGGGAGTTTTCTTGAAGTCACACCTGTGATACTCAGGGCTTGCATTTAGGATTGACTCTGAATTTAGGAATTATTCCTGTGGCTGGCAGGACCCTAAGGGATAATGAAGGATAATGAGAATCCAACCTGGGTAGGCCCCCTGCAAGGCAAGGGTCTTACCCACTCTATTATCTGTACCATGGTAGAGCACCATTTGTTGGATAGGCTTTTCTTCCTCTATTTAAATACATCCAGCCCCTGTGCTGTGGATTAACTGTCCATATTATGGGCATATTATGTACATATGGATTAACCTAAGAGTATTGGGGTCAAAGATAGAGTAGTTGGTATGGCACTTGCCTTGAATGGGACCAACTCAGGTTTGATCTCCAGCATCCTATATGATCCCCCAACCCCACCAGGAGTAAACCCTGAGTGCCAAAGGGTGTGGCCCAGAAACAAAAATAAAAAGTCTAAGTATCTCTGGGCTCTTCATTCTGTTACATTGATCTCAGAGTCTCAATAAGAGTACCACACAATTTTGATACTATAGTTTACAGTACAATTTAAAGTTAGAAAATGCAGCACTTCCTATTCTGTCGTTTCTCAGAATTGGTCTGGCTATCCTAGGAGTTTTATGATTCCATACAAATTTCTGTGGAGTTTATTCTAAGCTCTTAAAAAAAAGTCACTGTAATTTTGATGGTGATTTGGATTGGATCTGTGTAATACTTTAGGCATGGTGCTAATTTTAGCAGCATTATGTCTTCCAGTCCATGAACATGAAATATTTCTGTTTCCTAATGTTCTCTTGTATTTCAAATTTTAGTGAATTAAAACTTCAAAGTCTTTCACATACTTTAAGTTGATTCCTAGATATTTGTTGTTTTGGGACAGTACTTTAAATGGAGTAGTCCTTTTAATTTCTTCCCTGTCTATTTTCACTCAGTGATATATAACTACAGGCAGTGTGAGATTAGATGAGTGGTGGATGTTGGCCTATTGAAATGGCTGAGGTTGGGTCTGGAGGCTGGAAATTAATCTTCCTTCATAGGATATAGCAGCAAGCAGAGGTTCAGGAGCTGTGGATGGGCCCATTGAAATGCCAGTCCATTATCTTTTTTGCTTGTAAGTTTCATTAGCAAAATCTATGAATCCTAAAGACTAGGTTCCACCTGGCACAATATACAGTCCCCTGAGTACTGCCAGGAGTGATCGTTTTGCTTCTTTGGTTGCCTTAAGGAGTCTGTCTTTTGTTTTGGCCATTTTGATCAGCGTTGTTCTGTTTAGAGTTACTTTAGGCCTCTTGGCTTCAATCTCTCTGTTTAAATTTGGGAAATTTTCACCTATTCTTCAACCAACCTCTCTTCCTCTTTCCTTTTGTAATTCCTATGATCCCCAAGGTGGTTCCTCCTAGCACTGACAACAGCATATCTCAGTCTCTTTTCTGTTACTTTATAGATGGAGTTTCTGTATCTTATCTTTAAGGTCACTGATTTGTTTTTCAACTTCATCCATTCTGCTTCCGAGACTTGGTACTTCTTTTGTTCCATTATTTCTATTTAAATTACTTTGTTCATTATTTTCCATTTTGTTATCTTCGAATGTATTGATTCTGTATTCAGAAGTCTTTTTCAGATTATTTAACATTTGCTCTGAGGGGACCACACGCCACAGTGCTGCCATCTGGGAAGGAGTCAGTTGGCGTATTGGGGGGAAGCGTGCTTTGGACTGGGTGAGGCACTTCTCTCCCCTGCTACTGTCCTGGGTGCTGGCTGCTCAGGAGTTGGTACTCTGTGTATGGATACCCTGCTGACGAGGGGCACACTGGCCAGGGGTGCACTCCCCACTGGGCTGCTTCTGCTGTCTTCTAGGGATGTCACTGGTATGAGCACAAGGCTCCCTCTACAGCTATAGCAGCAGGTACTAAGACTCCTTTGACCTCTAGATACAGTTTAATGCGATTATTCATTGATTCAGCTGTGGAAAGTGGCACTAATAAATACAATTAAAAATGGTTGGAAAATGCTCATTTTTTTAAAGGATATACATATGTATGTGTATATGAATACATATGGATACATGTGTGTGCGTGCACACACATTCTGTCCTTCAGTTCTTCTCAGCAACATTTTGGTGGAACTGACTGTGCACTTTAAATAAGCCAGGAAACGTTGGATTTTAATAGTTGCTTGATTCTTTTCCCAAATATAAGAAACTGTTAATCCTGAAGTACGAAAACAAAACATTTTAATGATTTGCAGATCTATTTTCTGTTTTGTCAATCCTCAGCCATAAAACAGCACTCTGAAACTTAAACTTGGAAATTCTGCAGCCTGATAGTTCTTGGTTGTTTTTCTGAAAATGCATGCTTTGTGCTTATTACATAAAGTAAATGTCATTTCAAGCCATGATACCATTCTTTGGTAGGACTGCTGCAGACACCTGTGTGTTCACCCATGTATTTTAAATCGAAATGAATGACCCAAATTTAAGTAAACCATAAAAAGAAAATTTGATAATGATCCTGCTTTTGATTCTTATACATCTATAAAAGCTAACCACATTCTCAAATTATAAGAAAATTATTACATAGTAAAATTCAAAATAAGTTTATAATGAACACTATTTTTTCCCCTTTTTTGTTTTGGGGCCATACTCTGCTATACTCAGGACTTACTCCTGGCTCTGCACTTAGAGATCACTCCTCAGATCAAATCCAGTGGTCAGCGGCTTGTAAAAAAAAGCAACTTTTCCAGTAGTGATTCCTCAAGCCACTCCCAGCAACACTCAGTCCAGTGGTTTGGTTGCAGTAGTTGCTGTCAGGAGTGGTTTAAATGTTGTTTAGGCCTGTCAGTACTAATGTCACAAAACCAATTACTAAGTGGCACACTTGGGATCATACCAAGCAGTGCTGGGGTAGGCATTTGCTGCTGGGAAACAAACTAAGGACTTTGTGCATTCTAGGGATGTGCCCTACCAGTTGATAGCTGCAGCCCTGGACATTGTTTTGTTGGTGTTAGTAGGCAGTACTTTTGTAGTTATTCCTTGTCTAACATGAACTACATAGTGAATCAGCTATTTTGCCAATTGACGTAAATGAGTTTTCCTCTACCCTGAGTTTTTTTATAGTCTTTATGCCACCCTCGAGAACATCATGCGACGACTGGAATGGGAAGGAATGGGAGTGAAGATAGATGGTCGGCAACTACACCACCTCCGCTTTGCTGATGACATTGTTTTAATAACACCAAACATCAGCCAAGCGGCACAAATGCTGGCCGACTTTGACCGTGAGTGTGGAAAGGTAGGACTACAGCTGAATCTTACGAAGACAATGTTTATGAGAAACAGCCTTGTTCCTGACGCCCCATTCGCTCTCAATGGAACGACCATCTCCGAATGCAACAGCTATGTGTACCTAGGTCGAGAGGTCAACATGACAAATGACCTGGCACCCGAGCTGAGCAGGAGGAAGAGAGCGGCTTGGAACGCCTTCAGGAACGTCGAAGAAATAGCTAAGAAGAAATAGCTAAGAGGATGAAGAACCTCCGGCTCCGGGCACATCTCTTTGATTCCACTGTTCTTCCTGCATTAACATATGCCTCAGAGACCTGGGCCCTACACAAACAAGATGAGAACGCTATTCAGGTCTCCCAAAGAAGAATAGAAAGAGCTATGCTTGGAATATCACGTTTCACTCAAATGAGAGAACGAATCCGGAGTTCTGACATCTGTCGACGATCAAGAATCAGGGACGCTGTCTCATTTGCCAAGGTGTCGAAAATCAGATGGGCTGGTCACGTAATGAGATTTAAAGACGACCGTTGGACTAGAGCTGTTACCGACTGGATTCCACGGGATGTCAAAAGACCGCGTGGCTGCCCACCTTCCAGATGGTCAGACTTCTTCGTCAAGATCATGAACGATCGGTTTGAGGCCCTTCATGTTCCCGGAGCGAACAGATGCCATTGGGCTACACTAGCACGCGACAGGGACAAATGGAGACGTTACTGGCGCCCGCTCGAGCAAATCGCCGACTAACGGGAAGTTAAGTGATTAAACTCTATAGATGCTAACTGAAATAGCATTTTTTTCAGGACAACCTTATCTAACAACCAGGAGTCACCCACTCTTCACTTTAGAAATTTTTTTCTGTATTTTTTTTATGGCAGTAAAGTCAAAGTTTTCCATTTGTTGCTGGAGAGAAAATTTAATGGGTCATATACTTTGTCCTACATGAGATCAACCCTGGTTTGATTCTCTGAACCACTTACAGTACTCCAAGCACCACAAGAAGTGATTCCTGAGTGCAGAGTCCCAGGAGTAATCCCTGAAAATAGTTGGTTGTGGCCCAAAAATAAAAATTGCATTGGGTGCGAGAGAAGTGGGACCTTTTTGATGATGGATGGCCATTTAGTGGTGGGTATAATAAATATAGAACTATACTGGTGTTAAACTATACTTGAAATTCTATTATGTCTTGAACTAATGACAAATCAACTGAAAAGAGAAATAGGGGTTATAAAGATAGTACAGAGAGTAAGGTTCTTCCCTTGCATCCTTGCATCCTTCTGACTCTAGTTTGATCCCTAGACCATATATGATACTTTGAGCATCTCCATGAGTGCTCTCTGAGCACAAAAACAGGAGTAAGCACAGAGAACTGTTGGCTATAGCTACCAGCCTCCTCCCCCCCCCCGCCACCAGAAAGTCAAATAATTTTTAAATTTGGCATGTAACCATTAAGTGTAATGTTAACTATTTGCCTGTTAACTGCAACCATCAGCATCCTCTCAAAAAAACCTGTTATCGCTAGGCAGCCACACCCACATCCCGCACCACTGCCCTATGAGCTCATCTTCAGCTCTGTTCCAGAGACTCATAAATAAATCTTGAAAGACATCAACTAGCCACAGAAATTTCTTGGATACCCAATCCCTGCTGAAAGCTCTAGGGCAATCTTGGAAGAAGATCAGGCCAAGTTCCTGCTCTACGAAAGATCTGGCACTTACACCCCAACAGCTGCCACCATGCCTCTGGCCGGACTACGCTGCTAAGTATTCTGGATTTTCTGGAGTACACAGCTGCATTCTTGGCCACACGACATCTTCAAACTCTACGCTACTAACATTCCAGTAGGAGCACACTAGATTGGATGGGAATGTAACTTAGAAGCCAAACTAATCTCAACTAACAAAAACATTAATACATAAGACTTAACTTACAACAGCAGCTTAGTAAACCCTTAGACAAGGACTTAATGGTCCTGTGGTGAGCTATAACAAATTTCACAAATTTTCTTTTACTAACGTATTTTTTGATCATTCCACTAGCCATTTAATGGAAACAGGCAATATAAAATAAATTATTGTGGGCTTGCTATGGGGACAGGCTTGAGGGGTGCTGCAGAAAATGGAGATAGTGGTGGAGGGAAAGTGATAGCGATAATGGGTTTGGCGTTGGAATGTTGAATGCCTGCAACAAATCATGAACGATTTTGTAAACTGTGGTGTTAAAAGTGTGGCAATAAAAAGCCCTGTATCTTACAGAATTGAAATTATGTACATTAAACTCTGTCCTCCAAGCCCCTATATCCTGGGAACCGCTCTTTTATTTTCTGTGTTTAATATCTAAATAGTAATTGTGTTTTTATAACCCACTTATTTCACTAAGCATAATGTCCTCATGGTCTAGTCATGTTGTATATAGCAATGTTAGAATTTTCTTATATCATCGAAGAATACTCCCTGTGTATATGTCCATTCATCTGTTGCTAAATATTTAGTTATTCTCTTAAATTATATAGAAAGTACAAAGTTGCAAATTAGAATTACAGTAATACTGGCTCTTAGAATTGCATATACTTTTAATTACTGGGATCTTTATTTCATCTGGCTTTGAGATACTGTGTAGTATCCCTTTGTTTCAATGCAGAACTTTAAATTTTCTTATAAGGCAATACTAATGATAACATTCTATCGCTTTTCATTCATCTAATAATGTCTTATGCCATCAAGGAGGTGGGGGGTGTGGGGGGCTCAGAATGATAATACTGCAGGTATGGCTGTTGCCTGGCATGCTGTTAACCAGGTTCAATCCTTGCCATCCCATATGGTCCCCCATGA